AAAAAAAAAAAAAGGTATAATTTGCAAACTAGTAAAGGAGAAAAATGGAATAAGAAAAACTAATCAAGAAAACAAGAAAGAATAGAAAAAGAAATCGAGAAAAGGCAGGAAAAATACAAATGAATAAAGTAAAGTACATATACGTACACACATAAACATATATATAAATGTATGTGTGTGTGTGTATCAGTATTTCAATAAATGTACATGGACTAAATGCTTCAGTTAGAAGAAAAAGATTGCCAAACTAGACAAAGCAAATGAATCCACCTATCAGCTGTTCATAGAGGCATATCTAAAACATAATACAGAAAGATTGAAAGTAAAAAGGATGAAAAAAATCTGCCAAATACTAAGCAAAGGAAGACTGATATATCTATATTAATTTTAGTCAAAATAGACTTTGACAAAAGAAGCATTATGAGAGACAAAAGGGTCACTTCATAATGATTAAAAAGTCCAATTCATCAGTAAGATGGAATAATCTTACATTTATATGCACTTAATAACATAACTTCAAAATAAAGCAAAAAGAAAAATCAAGGAAAGCAAAATAAAAACAAATTCACAATGCAGTGGGAGATGTTAACACACCTCTCTCAGTAACTGATAGATCAAGCAAACAATCAGTAAGAATTAGGAAAGTGGGGTCCATAGAGGGGAAGTGACAGATGTTCCTTCACCCTTGCACAAACACTGAGTGCCTGGATGTCCCAGATACCACAATTATATGCTTTGCCAGAAAGATAAAATGCTTTTAGTACTTTTATGAGTGAGAATTTTAGTCCCATTTTATAAACTGGGAGGCTGAGAGACATGGAGAAGTTAAATAACTTGGGTAAGATGCTCTTCCTCAGAAATCTTAAATGTCAAATCCTACTGCCTTACACAGCCTTTGACCTTCCTACTTGTGGACAACCTTAATCCCCTTATATCTCCTCCTGGACTTTAACTTCCTGGAGACCTCTGGTCCAGTCTTTTTAGCCCCTCTCATCACTCTTCTTTCTTTCCCAGCCTGAACCTCTGGAGGGTCATTTGAATCCCTCCCTCCTCAGTATCCCTGATTCCCTTGCATCCCTATCCTCTTGGGCTCAGCCCATCCTTGTATCATGCCTGGAGCCCACCTTCTGTGCTCCTGAGACTGGCTAGCTTGCTGAGCCCTGCTGGAGAAAGATGCCCATCTCTACGAATTCTCCCAGTTCCTGGATCCCAGTCTCCCCACTAATTCTGGGATCTTGCTCCATCAGCTTTACTCGCCCCCATATCTATAAGACCTCATTCTCTTCGCTCTTTCTCCTTAGCCTAACAACTTGCTCAAGTCTCTTCCATTCTAAAAAGGATCCTCTCCTCCCCTTTCTGGCTACCATGTAACCACTTTGCTCCTCTCCACATCCAAGTTTCTCCAAAGAGTAATTAACTATGTGTCCACTTCCTCATTCTTTGTAAGCTGGCTTCATCCCCCATCACCCCACTGAAACTTCTCTTTCTAAAACTACCAAGAATCTACTAATTACCAAGTCCAAGAGATATTTTTCATTCTTGTTAGAACCTGGGCTCCCCAGGCCTCAATAGCCTTAGGATACAAATGGACCTACATGACTAAAAATGAAACAGTGAGCACCAAATTTCACCCATTCTTTGCATCTACCTGCTGAGGTAGGTGAGGAGACCGTCTGGTCCACCCATGTATTTCTGAGAGTCCACAGGCCATTGCTCCTATTGACTCACAAATAGCCTGATTCAGTAGGGCATGTCTGTGGCCCTACCTTTTCCTGCTTTGGTTGAGGCAAAGAGCCCTGTGGAGGGGGAAATGCTTCTCTTTGCTTTATGAGTTCCCAAAGCAGATTTGTTTGCTCCTTGAAATCCTACATTTTTTTCTTTACACTGTTTCCCTTGGTAGGACTCAGACGAGTCCAGTGGGCCAAATTAGGTGTTGAATCTGAACGCAGACTCAGAAGTGAGTTCAAATTCTTCATCCTCCCACTCGCTCTGCTTGCCCTAAGCACTAAGGTGTTTCCTCTGGGTCAAGTTCATACACTTGAGTTCTTCCCTCAGTGAAGCAGGCCCTGCTGCTTGGCTACTCAATGGCTATTCCCCCTTCCTTTTGCCTAACAGCCCCTGACCTTATTCAGGTACCTACTTTAGGGAAAGCAGTCCCAGGCCTAGCCCCAAGGGGAGAGTCACCATTAGTCTCTTGTCATCAAAGTAGTCTCAGGCCCCCCAGCTAGTGATTGTTTTAAGCATGGACTTCTTCTAAATGTCCCATTTCCATGAGGCTGAAAAACTGAGGCTCAGGGTCACTAAGTTCAAACAGTGTCTTCAGGGTAAAAGCTGATTTCATTGCTTAGAATCCACTGCCCTCTCAATTCTAGCTTTTGTTTCTTTCTGGCCTGAGTATTCCTTACTTCATTGCCAGCCAGGATGGGTTTTCACACAAAATTGCACTCTTTCCTGGCTTCTTTCTCTTCCCCTATTATCCTGTGCTTCCCCTTCTCCCTAACTGGTTTCTCCTGGGAACATTTCTTTACTAAATCATCTTTACTGAATCTTCATCTCAGAATTTGCTTCTGGGAGAACATGACCTATAGCATGGATTACTTTAAGAATCTGATGAAAGTTATGGACCTTGTCCCCAGAAAAGTACACATACACACATTCAAAATCTTATGCCTTTTTGCTCCCCCAAAGTCATCCATGGACCCAAGATTAAGAACTCTGGATAAAATGATCTTTGGGGCCCCTCCATAGCTAACTTTGCTGTGTGTCTCTGGGTGGGTCTGAGGAGCTTAGCTTTGAGTTTCTGAATTGAGGCTTTCAGGAGTGTGGGATCCAACATCCCTTTAGTGGATTTCTTTTCTGTCAGATTCTTAGGTGAGAGTTTCTGAATTGAGGCTTTCAGGAGCGTGGGATCCAACATCCCTTTAGTGGATTTCTTTTCTGTCAGATTCTTAGTTGAGAGTTTCTGTTGCTCTCAACTAAAAAAAAATTTTTTTTTTCCACACCACACAGCTTGCGGGATTTTTAGTTCCCCGACCAGGGATTGAACCTGGGCCCTTGGTAGTGGCAGTGCGGAGTCCTAACCACTGGAGCGCCAGGGGAATTCCCTCAACTAAGAACCTTTATAGAGACACTGCCGCATGCTGCATCTTCCAGCACCTCCTGACTCTTCATTGTCCCCGGAACACCATACGGGTTTTACTAATGCTATCTTCTCTGCCCAGAGTGCCCTTCCTCTTCCTTTTTGTCCAATGGCCATTCATTTTTATACTCAGCTCTGACACCACCTCCTCCAGGAAGACTTCCCCGAGAGTCACTCTTGGGAGGATGCCCCAGAGGGATCCCAAGACAGGTGGTCCACACTACCCATGCAGTGATCTAGTTTTATGGGGATATGTTTATGGGTTCATCTCCCTATCTATGGGGTAAGTTCCTCAAAGTTAAGGACTGTGCTTCATTCTTTTCTGTACCCCCAGCACCTATTTCAGGGCCTGGTACACAGTAGAAACTAAAAATATTTGTAGGATGAATGAATGAATACCGGTACTTTGTGGTGGAGACAGGGCTTGAACCAGTTTTTCTGGCTTCGAAGCCTCTGCATTTTCCGCCTTAGATACCGGGGCTGGGGGCAGGCTTGTTTGGGATTAAAGTGTTTTCCAGCTCGGTGGCCCCTGTTCCCTGTGGCCTTGCTGAGGCTGCTGATGCTTCTCTAGAGGCCACAGCCCAGCCCAAGCATCCTAGAGCCTCCCTGTGCCCAGACTTCATGTGCCTTCAGCTGGAAGACAAACCTGGGCAGGAGAGCACTCCCTGAGGCCCCTCTGGTGGCCCCAGTCTGGTAACTAAGCTGTCCCCTCCTCCTTCCTGACTTTTGTGCTGGGCCCTCGCACCTGTACCTCCCTCCTTCTCCTTCCCTCCCTCTCCTTCCCTCCCTCTGGCCAGGAGCCTGGGACCCCGGCTGTGAGTCAACTCCAGAACAGGGTGTCCAGCCTCTTCTTCCCATGGCCGAAGTCGCCCACGGGGGCTCTAGCTCTCTAACCCCCCCGCCTGGTCACTGCCCCTTTGAGAACCTGGGGTCCGGGGAGGCCGAGGGCTCCGGTCTCCGCTGGGGAAACTGGACTCTGGCTGAAGCCCCCAGGCAGGGGCTGCGCTGCACCGGAGAGAAGCTATCCTCCTGCCTGTGTCCAAGGCCGGCTCTGGGGGTGAAGGCGTCCCCGGGAGAAGCGAGCTGTTCTCCACTCCGCCACCCCCTCCCCAGGTGCCCGGCTCTCCAGCTGTTTTCCTCCTCTGGGCTGTGGGACCTTCTGCAGATCTCCTCTCCTCAGGATGAGGAAAGCAGATGGCTCTCCCCGCCAAGGCCCCCAAGGGTCCTCCCGCCTCTCCCAGCAGGCACCTGACTCTCTGCTCGCTTCATTCTCCCGTGGCCGCGAACCTTCTCCGCAGTGACAGGTGATGGGAGCAGGGTGCCCTCCACCCCTAGCCTCACTCTCCGGGCTCGGGGCCTGTGTCTGGGGAGGGGAGGCTGGGTCCCCCTGGGGAGGACCTGGCCGCCCAGCAGCGGGGACACCGGGGCAGGTTTGCCGGGCCCCGGCCTGTGGCCGGGACGGGCCGGTGGCTCAAAGGCGTCTGTCTGTGGGCAGGGCCGGCTCGGAAAGTCACGGCGCACCTGCAGGACCCCTCACCTGCCTTTTCAGAGTGCTCTCCCTCCACCCCGACAGTGGCTCTCAGGCGTCCCTGGGGTCATATTTTCAGGAAAATGGGCGTGTGGCGCCCTCGCTCATCAAAGCAGCAGCCGGCGCCTGGCAAGAGCCCCCTTGGGAGGAGCTTTCCCCTCAGAGCAGCGGTTCTCAGCTGCGAGTGAGAATCACCTGACCAATTTTTTTTTTTTTTTTTCTTTCCCGGTACGCGGGCCCTCACTGCTGTGGCCTCTCCCGTTGCGGAGCACAGGCTCCGGACGCGCAGGCTCCGGACGCGCAGGCTCAGCGGCCATGGCTCACGGGCCCAGCCGCTCCGCGGCATGTGGGATCCTCCCGGACCGGGGCATGACCCCGTGTCCCCTGCATCGGCAGGCGGACTCTCAACCACTGCGCCACGAGGGAAGCCCACCTGAGCACTTTTAAAAACCACCGATGTCCCGGCCTCACCCACACCGGTTGAATCAGCACCGCCGAGGAGGGGCGCCGCAGGGTGGGCCTTAAAGCTCCCGGATGGTCCAAACGGGCGGCATTTGAGCCTCACAAGGACACCGAAAGACAGGTACTGTCGTCATCCCCACCGTATAGGCAGGGACACTGGGCTCCGAGAAGTGAAGCCACTTGACCGGGGTCAGAGGGCAAGTGGGAGGGATGGGACTGGAGTCCCAAACGGGAGGGGCGGGTGGCCCCCCTGCTGACCGTGGATCTGGGCTTCCAGGGGGGCTTCGAGTGGGACCACGAGGTCTCAGGCTGGCCCAGGAGCCTGGGCCTCGGGCTGACTCAAGAGCTGGCCCTGTCTCCCCACAAATGCGGAGACATTTATGCCACCTCCTTCTCCAAAGCGCTGGGCTGGGCCTCCTCCAAGCCCCAGAACTCAGTGGGTCACATCCACTCACCCAGCCGGGTCCTCTCACTGGAACAGCATGCCCTTTGGTGACGGGGAGGATGCATTTTTGAGGTGAAATATTGTATAACAGCCAGGAACGGAAAATATTAAAAGCCCACGGGTGCCAGCAAGGTTCGCACCAGGGCCAGAAAGTTCAGAAAAAAGGAGGCAGGCTCCCTGCAGTGGAGGCCACGGGGTGGGGCGGGATCAGCTCGACCACCCACACCCTGGATCCCAGGCTGCCTCCGTCTTCAGGGTGAGCGGGAGCCTTGCCTGGACCACAGGAAGGTCCCAGGGTGGTGACCCCAGGCGGAAAGCTGAAGCTGCTCAGATCCCTCATAAAGCTGGAGCAGCTGTGTCAGCCTGCCTGTCCGCGTCCCTCTCCCACTCCAGGCCTTGAGGATCATGAGGCCCGTAGGGGGAAGTGGAACATTCGGGAACCTGGGGTCAGGCTGCCTGTGGGTCTGCTCTGAGCATCCCCTGGAGGCTCCCTCAAGCAGGGCAGGCAGTTCACCCCTAGAACTGACTCAGAGCTGCCCAGGTGTCAGGAGTCATGGCTGGGCCTGCATCCTCAAGGTAGGATGTCTCAGGGCAGAGCCAGAAGCCTCACCAGACCCAGAACTCGGACTGTAGTCCCCTAGCTTCACATCTCAGTGAGATGCCGGGGAGCCTACTGGAGGCCTAGATGTGGAGCAGCAGACCTGCTCCACCGTGGCTCTGCCCCTCCCAACATGAATGGCCTTGGGTAAGTCCCTTACCCTCTCGGGATCTATGAATTTATGACATTGAGCCAGGTGCTGGGGACACAGAGATAAGGCACGGGCCTTGCCCTTCAGGAGCTCACAGTCAATTGAAAGAAGACAGCATTTCCAGGTGAAGCAAAGAGCTCTTCAAGTCAGGGTGGGGCTAAGTGGGAAATGATGGGGCTGGGGCAGCTCAGAGGTGGGGGGGAGTGGTGTGGGCTATAGGGCTCAGGGCATGTGTCTGCCTGTTTTGGGTAGGAGGATAAACTCCCATATTGTGCATGTAACCCTAATGCTGCCACCACACCCCAGATCCCCATCTAGCTGTAACTGCAGACCCACTGCTCCCTACTTAGGGAAGCACTGTTACTCTGGTGTTTGGCTGACAGGGGCCACTGATTGGCTTAGGCTGAGCATCTGACCTAAACCCAGTCCATCCACCCACTGGCAGGTGACTGGTGAAGTGGGCTTCTTGGGAATCGTTCCACCCAATAGGGATGGAGATGGCAACTAGCTGAGCCAATCAGAATGGCTCCTGGTGGAATCTGAACTAAGAAAGTGCAGGAGGTGGACCCATGAGGAGCAAGAGGCAGGCAGAGCTACCATATAGAGAGAAGCACATACCCCACAGGAGAAACACCAGGCAGCCTGAGGGGCTGAGAGAGGGGCCTGCCTCAGCCCAGCTCTTGACTTCAGCTGTCTTTACAACAAGCCTCCATTTTTTTTCAGAATGGCCTGAGTGAGTCACCATTCTTGTTCCCTAAAGTGCATAACCAGCTAAGGAGGCCCCTCATCTCCCTGGCGTGCCAGAGAGCAGCCAACTCTCTCCTCCATCCTGTATGAGGCCACTGTGAGGAAATGGAAAGATCAGAGGGCAGGAAATTAGGAGGCCTGGCCTGGGTTCAAGCCTGACTCAAGTTCCTAAGCGTCTCCAAGAGCCAGGCCTTGGCAGAAGTCTGGTACACCTTGCACAGTGTGCTTTCTCCTTCACTGGTTATGATCAGGCTCAAATGAAAATGACAGATAAAAGCAGCCAGAAAGGTAAAGGTAGCTGCTGCCTATTCAGGGCATTCTCCCGCTGTTTGATGGGAGCTGATTAGTTGGGTGTAGAGGATTCAGAACCTCTCTGTTCAAGGGGCCTCTAGGGAGATCTGAGAGTCATCGGAGAGGAGGGGCAGTTCTGGATCCAGCAACGTGCTTGACAGTCTTAGCAGTCTCCTGGGGCAGTTCTCAGTAGACCTGTGTCTTAGTCCTAGGGAGAGCAGAAGACTGTAAGTAAAAGCTAAAAGAGCTGTTCCACTGAAAAGTCTGTGTCTTATTTGGGCATAAGAAGTCCTGTTTTGGGATCAGGCAAGAGAGGCATTTGTTCCTGCTGTGCTACTGACTTTTGTGCATGGAGAAGTCTCTAGGGTGCTGGCATCAATGCTTTGAAGAGCCACAGTGTTAAAAAAAAGGGGGGGGTGGTCAGTGGAGAAACGTTCCTTTCAACAAATAGTGCAGAAACAGTTGGACATCCACATGCAAAAAAGGAATCTTGATTCACAGACTACACCATGTGCAAAAACTAGTTAAAAATGAATCATAGACCTAAAGGTAAAACCTAAAACTCCTAGAGAAAACCTTTGTGACTGTGGGTTAGGTAAAAATTTCTTAGAGCCAACACCAAAAGCACAAATTTATAAAATAAAAAATTGATAGATTGGATTTCATCAAAATTAAGAGCTTCTGCTCTTCAAAAGACACTGTTAAGAAAATGGAAAGACAAGCTACAGACTGGGAAAAAGTATTTTCAAAACATATCTGATAGGGACTTCCCTGGTGGTCCAGTGGTTAAGATTCTTTTTTTTTTTTTTTAATTTATTTATTTTTTTTTGCGGTACGTGGGCCTCTCACTGCCGTGGCCTCTCCCGTTGCAGAGCACAGGCTCCGGACGCGCAGGCCCAGCGGCCATGGCTCACGGGCCCAGCCGCTCCGTGGCACGCGGGATCCTCCCGGACCGGGGCACGAACCCGCGTCCCCTGCATCGGCAGGCAGACTCTCAACCACTGCGCCACCAGGGAAGCCCCCAGTGGTTAAGATTCTGTGCTTCCACTGCACGGGGCCTAGGTTTGATCCCTGGTTGGGGAACTAAGATTCCACGTGCCTTGTGGCCAAAAAGTAAAAAACAAAAAAACCCATATCTGATAAAGGACTTGTATCTAGAATATATAAAGTACACTCAGATTTCAGTAATGAGAAAACAAATAACCTAATTGCAAATGGGCAAAATATTTGAACAGGCACTTCATCAAAGAAGACATAGAAATGGCAAATAAGAGTATGAAAAGCTGGGGGCTTCCCTGGTGACACAGTGGTTAAGAATCCTCCTGCCATTGCAGGGGACACAGGTTGGAGCCTTGGTCTGGGAAGATCCCACATGCCATGGAGCAACTAAGCCCGTGTGCGACAACTACTGAGCCTGTGCTCTAGAGCCCATGAGCCACAACTACTGAGCCCGCGTGCCACAACTACTGAAGCCCGTGCACCTAGAGCCCGGGCTCTAGAGAACCCACCACAATGAGAAGCCATGCACCACAATGAAGAGTAGCCCCTGCTCACTGCAACCAGAGAAAAGCCCACACGCAGCAACGAAGACCCAACACAGCCAAAAATAAAATAAATAAATTTATTTTTTAAAAAATGTATGAAAAGCTGCTCAACATCATTGGTTACCAGGGAAATGCAAATTAAAACAAGACACTACACAACCATGGGAAAGGCTTAAAAACGGTCAAACATGAAACTTTAACAGTATCAAGTGTTAATGAGAATGCTGAGCAGCTGGAACTCTCATGTTGCTGGTTGGAAAGTAAATGGAAAAATCACTCTGGGAAACAGTTTGAAAGTTTCTTATAAAGTTAAACATAACACTTCACATATAACCCAACAATCGCACTCCTAGATATTTACCCAAAAGAAATGAAAAACCTGTTTACACAAAAACCTGTACATAAATATCCATAGTGAAAAGGTAGTTGCTAAAAACTGGAGACAACCCAAATGTCCTTCAACTGGTGAACAGAAAAAGAAACTGTGGCACATCCATACAACAGAATACTACTCAGCAGTAAAAAGGAATGAACTATTGACACGTGCAACAGCATGGATGATTATACTAAGTGAAAGAAGGCAGACTTAAAAGGCTCTTACCAGGGACTTCCCTGGTGGTCCAAGGGTTAAGAATCTGCCTTCCAATGCAGGGGATGCGGGTTCGATCCCTGGTCAGGGAGCTAAGATCCCACATGCCGCGGGGCAACTAAGCCCGTGCACTGCAACAGAGCCCATGCACCACAACTAGAGAGAAGCCAGTGCACCGCAATGAAGATCCTGCATGCCACAACCAAGACCTGACGCAGCCAAATAAATAAATATTAAAAAAAAAACAACGCTCATCCCAAAGGATTCCACTTGCAGGACATTCTTGAAAAGGCAAAATGACAGGGAAAGAGAACAGATCAGTGGTGGTCAGCAGCTAGGGATGGGGGAGAGGGCTGACTACAAAGGGAGCTTCTGAGGTGATGGAAATATTTTGTATCTTGATGGTGATGGTGGTTATAAGATTGTTTGCATTTGTCAAAACTCATAGAACTTTCCACTCAAAAGGGTGACTTCTACAGAATGACAATCATGCTCCAATTTTTAAAAATGGGAAGTGGGATTCAAATTTCTTCTTCCCTTTCTTTGCCTTCCCTGTCACTGGCCAACATTCTGTCCTTAAAGCTCTTGTTTTCCTGGGGGGGAAAACGCCCCAATTCAGCCACCCTGAACACTGCTTTGCTTCTGGGAACAAAAAGCCAACCCACTAAGAATGGTCTGTGCAGGCCCATGTCTGTTTCTCTTCCTCTGTCCCACCCTGTCTGGCTAAGCCTGCTCACCAAGGCCTTTCTAACCTCCATTTCCCCTTCCCTGCCTGCTCATCCGGGCCATCTGGAGTCCCAAATCTTTATGGCCCAGGCTTTGTGTGGGTGAAAGATCCTGCTTGGAAAGAGATCCTTACACTCAACTTTCCCCAGCTCTAGCCCATTAAACGTCCACGGGTCCCAGGGATGCACAGCCAGAGAGGACAACTACCTGGCATCCTCCTCACCTCACCCCTGACTGAGGCCACCCCCATCACTACTGCAGGCTCTTCTGGGCTGCCAGCATCATGGTCAGAGCTGAAGCCGTACCACAACCAGAGCCACCTGGGGCCTCTCAGGGGAGTCATGAAAAGAGGCCTTGGGTCATGGGAAGCAAGCAGCAGAGTCTGGTAGATGCTTCGGGGCAAGCCTGATGAACCACCAGGGCAAACACATCCCGCTGAGTGTGACTAGTCCAGGAGGGGAATGTGAACACTCTTGCGATGACTCCCTGGTAAGTGTGCACCCAGTAATCCTGTGCAAAATCATGAATGTGGGTGTCCCTGAGAAACAGCAGGGCACCGTGGGGACACTAAGATGTAAACTCCAGGCTGTGACCATGGTGAGTCACCACAGGGACAGTGAGGTGACCTTTCTTTTTAAGCTTGAAGAGCATTCTGTGATGACCACGGTGAGCACACTACACAAGGTGGAGGGCTCTACCTGACATGTCTTGGGGGATCTGCCAGACCATGGCCCATTCTCAGGGAATCTGCTCCCACCTACAACCTGTGCGGGGTAAGCACACCCTTACAAGACCAGGTGCTGACTGTCAGGTGGCGGTGCGTGCAGCAACCCGTGTGGCTTACATAGTTCTGAAGGTTTCTTTGTTTTTCTTCCATTTTCCAAGCTGGAGTTGTTATTATAGTTGCTCAGCTTTGCTCAACTCTTCTGGGATGTGTTGATGTGGTTACAGGGTGAGGGGAAGTCATACATGGGTAGGTTTGCAGCAGAACAAAGGGAGTGTAAATGCTGAGGTTGACAGCTGTTAAAGTGGTCTCTTGATATCAGGATTCAACTACTGGTATCAAGGTTAGCAGTTAGGCATTTCGGGTTGACTTCTACTAGGAAAGGGGTGCTTGTGTTTGTGGTTGTGTTTGAGGTGCGTACGTGTCACTTTTTACTTCCTAGCATCCGTTCTTCCTACTTCTGGTGACAGCACCACAATTCTCCTTTGAGAAAAATCAGTCCATGTGATTCCAGTGGGATGATCTACCCCTACCTCTGGAAGTGGGCTCATCAGAGCTTTCCACCCACATGGTTACAGGAACTGGGTCAGGAATAGGCCAATGGGAGCCTTTCCCAGGACGTCTGCTGGAACAATGGGGGAAGAGACATGCTTTTTCCATTGGAGATTTGAGATGTGCTAGAAGGGAGTCTGGAGCTTCTGGAAGATAATACATGGGAATGGCATCTGTTCCAGTTCCTGTTGCTGTGTAACAAACTACCCCAAGTTTTAGTGGCTTAAATGATAATCATTTTATCATATCCCCTGAATTCTGTAGGTCAGGATTTCATGTAGGGCTTGACTGGGCCATTCTGCCTTTTATGACTTTGATTGAGGCCACTCAGTGGCATCCGTCTGGTAAATGAGCTGGTCTGTCCTAGAGGGTACAGGACAGCTACACTCACATGACTGGTGATGTGAGGGCTGGAAGGCTGGGCTCAGCTGGGACTACCCACCAAAACACCTACACCAGGCCTCTCTGATTTGGTGGTCTCTTGGTAGTTAGCTGGCTTTCCCCAGAGCAAGCATGCCAAGTGGAAGCTGCATGGCTTTTTCTGACCTAGCCTGAGAAGTTCACCTCACTCCTGGTTACAAGCAAGTCATAGCCCAGCTCAGATTCAAGGGGAAGGAAATTAGATTCTACCTCTTGATGGCAGAGTAGGGCAGTCACCTTGTACGAGAACACACGCAGTGGGAGCTATCATCGCAGCCAACTTGGGAAAATACAGACTACAGCCTCCTTGGGAAGAAAGCCATCTCAGAGGAAGCAGTTGAGAAATGGAAAGAGAGCAGTCCTGATGATATTGTTTGAGTCCCTGGATCCAGTTTTTCCCAGGACTTCAGTTATGACAACCATCAGTTTCCTTTCCTGCATAGTCCAATCTAAGTTGTGCTTTTGTCTCTTGCAACTGAAAGATCTTTTACTCTTAGTGTGTATATCAGTTATCTATTACAGTACAACAAATCACCCCAAAACTCAGTGGCTTACAACAATGATTATTATTTCTCACGATTCTATGGGTGGCTAGACCATTCCTCTGCTGGTCTTACCTGGCTCACTTATGCAACTGCTGAGGTGGAAAATTCAAGATGGCCTCATTCACATGTCTGGCTGTTGGCTGGGGGCCTCAGTTCTCCTTCATGTGGTCTCTTATCCTCTAGGAGGATAGATTGACTTCTTTATATGGTGGTCTCAGGACCGTGTTCCTGGGGAGTGGAGGCGGCAAAGTCTCTTGAGTGTCATTTCTGTCATTCCTTTGTTCAAAGCAAGTGACAAAGCCAACCCAGGTCAAAGGTGAGTAAAGAGACTCCACCTCATCACAGGAGAGTTGCAAAGAATTTGTGGCCATATTTAATCCACCACAGTACGATAGATAGCTGGATCATGTTAGATGGGGACATGTTTGAAATTAGTGTATGTATGGGAAGCAGGGTGTATGTGCCAGGCAGGCAGAGCCAGAGTGTTCTAGTATGTTCTTGCTGAGGAGCATATGGCTGGAGTGTCATTTCCATGGTGGCTTCTCTGAGCTGAGGGCACCCCAGGACAAGGTCTACACTAGGTCACCGGTTCTCAGGGGCAACTCTGAGTTGAAGACCTACTGTGTCTGAGTGACTTCACCTCTCTGAGCCTCAGTTTTCCCTCTATAAAATGGGTGTGGTCATCCCTGCCTCGCAGATCAACTGTGAGGCTGAAGATGAGCTGATGACCATGAATGTGCCTTGTGTATTACAGGATGGTGAACATTATCATCTGAGACCCGAGAAGGAATAGTCAAGGTGGGCCTGGGTGGTCAGAGAGGGCAGGAGGGAAGAGACTGAGATGGGGCATCGAAAGGTGGGGGACATTCACATGGGAGGGGAGGAAGGGCTGTATTTCAAGATGGGAAGCTGAGGAATAAAACTATAAAGGCATTGGGTTGGAACAGTGACAGACTGTATCTAGGATAGGGAGGAGAACAACACGGTCAGAGAGCGAGCTCTCCCACTCCCGTAGACTCTGGGTGTCTAGGCTCCCATACATACTGGGTCAGCAGCCCCTGAGGGTTACTCAGAGCTACAGTCAAGTCTTCTAGTCCCCAGGGATCATTAGTGGCTTGTCCCTACCCAGGCCTGCAAAGCCCCCTCAGGCTGCAGGGGGGCAATGATGGGAGCATGGGAGTGGTGGTCAGAGAGCATGTTAGAGACACAGCACCTTCCTCTGGAGCCACCAGCATCACGTCAGACCCCTCCCAGTGTCCCCAAGCTCCTTTCCCCTCAGCAGGGTGGGGACCCCTGGCCTTAGGCTTGGGTCACAGTTGGCCTGGCTAAACATGGCTCCAAGCCCCTCAATCCCCTGGATAGGGGTGGAAGTGATTGATGGGTTTCAGTGTGTTCCAAGCCAGGGCTTGGAGCTGCAGCAGACTAGCCTGGCCTGCAGAAGCCCCAGGTGGCCAGTCATGGCTGGTGCTGACCCATCTAGGCCAGGCCCTGGACAGTCCAGATCTGTGGCTGCCTCCCAAGCCCTGACTATCCTAAGGTCCTGGCCAAGGAGAGCAGCAGCCTCTCCCTCAAAGGAGTCCTGGGAGCACCGGGTGGGAGCAGGCTCAGATTCCACCAATCTAGCCCTGCGCAGTTCACAGCTCAGCCCCACTTGGCGACAGAAAGGGATTCTTTGATGGGGGAGGTGGGAGGACATGAGCTAGAGGGACACAACCTGCTGGGCTGTAATCAGAACCCAGGGATTCTAGCTCACAGTCCCTCAGCCTCTGCCAACCATGACAATACCCTCTGGCCACTGGGGCAGGATAGATGGGGCCTCAGTGTGAGTTCTGGGCCAAGCAAGGACACCTAGGCAGGAATCACGGCCTAAGGAGCTCTACTTTGCCAAGCCCTCACCTTATAGGCTTCCCTTCTCCCACTACAGCACGAGAAGAGAGGGGTGCATTTGGGAGGCTGGGGAGACCTCTTTCACATACTCTGGGATTCCATAGAGACGAGACCTTGGAAAGCAGGTGATTACCCTGACCTTGACCTGTGGTCCTCTGGTTTACCTTTCCCCACCTTCCTCTCCTGTCTACCTTGCTCTCCTCATCTAGAGTCTGTGGTCAGGCAGCTTCTCTGGCCTCCTTCCTGACCTCTGGTGAGATTCTTCGGAGCTGTCATTTCTTCTTTTCTCTCCTTTCTGCAGTGTTTGTTGTCAGCATCTTATCAAATCTTGTAAGAGCTGGTGGGGGCCTCAGAGCTCACTCAGTCCAAACTCCTGTTACACAGGTGGGGACACTGAGGACCAGGGTCACTTGGGTCACTGCTTGTCCAAGATCACACATCAAAATTAGCAACAGAGCCAGCACTAGGCTTTTGACTCCCAAGTTCTTGTTTTTCTCTTGTTCTTTGATCAGGCTATTGTGGCCCAGGCTTTGTCTGTCCATGGACCAGCAGAGTCTCAGGGGCTTCACTCAGTTCAGAATTTGCCTTCACTTAGTTCAGGCTAAAGCTGCTTCATGGCTTGGCTCTGATAATAATTGGACGAGACTGGGTCTACTACGGGATCTATGGGCCAAAAGCTGGGGGCCAGGAGGGAGACCAGGCTCCAAGAGGAAAAGCAAACCAGCTCTGTGCCCCAGATCTGCTTAGGGGCTGTCCCTGCTCAACATCCTTCCTCCACCATCCTCCTGTCCCCCAACAGCTCCTGTCCAGGATGATGCTCAGAGAAACAGAACTCCTAAACCCTTGTTTGTACACACACACACACACACACACACACACACATTCACATAGAGAGAAAGACACAGACGTACACACATACAGCATATACACAGGCACAGACACACACAACCACACACGCACAGCTCTCTGGATAAGAGTGTGCACAGCTACACTGTGGGATCATTTCCATACAAGGCTCTTTCCTCTGAATGCATGGATACATCTCCTCCCTATGGCCTCCCAGTGCCCAGCCTGGAGCCTGCCCCCAAACAGGCACTTAGTGAGGGTGTGTGGATGGAATGGGCTGACACTGGTGTGGAGGGCCACATGGGCCAGGCCTCCATCTCCAGGCCCTGCATGAGGCAGAAAGCCCAGCCCAGGCCAGATGAGCCTGAGACATGAGACAGGCCTTGGAAGCTCCTGCTGCCTCCCTGGCTCACCCCTCCCCATCTTCTGCCTCCACCTGATACTCTCTCCGTGTGTGGTCTGTTAACCAGCCCCATCAAAATCACCTGGGAGCTTGTTAGAAATGCAAAGTCTCGGTCCTCACCTCAGACCTACTGAACTAGAGAGTCGGGGTGAGGGGCCCAGCATCTGTGTTTTAACAAGCCCTCCAGGGGATTCTAATACACGCTGAAGTTACAGAACTGCTGCCTGTGACGACAGGCAAACTCACGTTGCAGGGGAGGCGGGTGAAGTCTGGAAACACAAGCAGCTGCCTGTGCCACCTATGGGTAAGGCTGCTGTTCACTGCTGGTGGCACCCATACCCAGAGTCAGACACACGCACACACACGCACATATGAGCATCTGGCAGGATCTCAGAGAATCCACATGCAGGAGCTCCTCTCGGGTCCAATGGGTATAGGCAGGTACCCAAATGGAAGCAGGCAGGGGTAAGGGAGAACTACTCTTATTCTGTGCCCCACCACTCCTCTGTCCCTTGTCCCTCTGAGGTTCCCTGAGTGCTCCCTCAGGGGCCACAGAAGCTCAGTAGTTGCCCAACTCTGACCAAGCACCCCCAGCTGAGAGGCCAGGTGATCTGTGGCCCTAAGAGAGCTTGGGGTATGTGCTAAGGCCAGCATAGGTCAGGGCCGGGGCCAGGGCCGGGGCCATGCGGGGGATCGGCAAGCAAAGCTTAGGCAAGAGCATCCCACCTCCTGAGCTATGAAATGCTGCCCACATGTAGAATTGCCCTTGGCCCCTTCCCAGGGCTGCTCAGTGCCCAGCCGCCTCTTCACCCATCCCTCTGCTCTGGCCTATGGAGCCCCAGGCAGCTGCCCACCTGGCCCATCCCCAGGCCCTGCGGCCTCTCCCTCTGAGAATCTGGAAGCGAAATCCGGGCCCCTGGAGTCTGCAGGGGGTGTGGGGAGGGGTGGGGAAGGCCGAGCTTCCTCAGGCTTGGATCTGGTTTCGCGGCCGCTTCCCGTGGTGCATTGCCACAGGCTGAGCCACCAGCTGTGCTATATAAGGCCCCGTGGCTGGACTGCTGGGGAGAGGAAGACCTGGACCCCCCAGCTGAGGAGTCCCTCTCAGGACACGGTGAGCCCCACTCCTATTCTCCTCAGTCCATCCCTGCACCCCACTGCCTGGCTCAGCTATTCCTGACCACCCCATATCTCCTCCAGAGAAGACTCCCCTTTCTGCTTTGGAGTTCTCTCCTTTCTCCCATTGGCCCAAGGTCTTTTCCCTCCCCCACCTGAGGATAGGGGCCCTCAGAGAGTCCCAGTCAGGATCTTTGTACCTCTGGGCACTCTGCTTTTTTCCTGCGGTCAGCCAGTCTTCTTTATCCGAGAGTTCTGGGACCCGTGGGGTGGGGAGCCTCACCCACAGAGCATATGCTGAGGAAACTTCCATGCGCTGCCAGATGGGAAATGGTTTTTCCATAAGGTGCCTCAGGCCACTTTGGCTTCCCAGACAGTTGCGGAGCAATCCCAGACTGAATGCTGTGCAGGCCCGCGGAGCGCTCAGCCCTCTGCTCAGAGCCTGGGAGCGTGGCGTGAGACACACAAGAGCTGGAGACCTCGGGGACACCCGTGCTCTGTTCTCTGGGCTGAGAAACAGGTGGTGGTGGAGTTAGTGGGCTTAGAGCTGGATGATCTGCAGCATGGGGTTGGTCTGTTCTTCTTTTGGGACAACAAAGTGCTATTTTTTTTTATAAATTTATTTATTTATTTGTGGGGTTTTTTTGGCTGTGTTGGGTCTTCATTGCTGCGCGTGGGCTTTCTCTAGTTGTGGTGAGCGAGGGCTACTCTTCGTTGCGGTGCGCGGGCTTCTCATTGTCGTGGCTTCTCTTGTTGCGGAGCAGGGCTCTAGGCACGCGGGCTTCAGTAGTTGTGGCACGTGGGCTCAGTAGTTGTGGCTTGCGGGCTCTAGAGAGCTGGCTCAGTAGTTGTGGCACACGGGCTTAGTTGCTCCGCGGCATGTGGGATCTTCCCGGACCAGGGCTCGAACCCGTGTCCTTTGCATTGGCAGGTGGATTCGTAACCACTGCGCCTCCAGGGAAGTCCCAACAAAGTGCTTTTGAATCTTTTTTTCCAGAAAGGAGGAATCTCCCTTTTCTCACCACACCCTGGACTTTGGAGGTTGAAGGGAATCACTTTTGAATTTCCAGGCACTGGTCAGATTCTGGGTTGGCCAGAGCTCTGGGGAGAGAGAAAATTGAGCGGGAGCCTGGGCCGCTCCCCCTGCGTCCTTGCCCTATTGCCAGACCTGCTCTCCTCTCCCTGCTCCTGCAGCCCGTAACCCATGCTCAGCAGTTACTGGGGGGCCCTAGCCTCTCCCAGTGCATCCCCTCTGCTCTCCCTCAGTAGGCTCCTGAGGGAGGCCCAGGAGCAGCCAGGCCAGAAACTCCCAGCCAGGCCCCAAACAAACAGGCCAGAAATGTGTTCCAGCTGCAGCCAGTGCATATCTGGGAACGTGTTCATGGAGGCGGTGTGTCTGAAGCATCTGCACCCTTCAGCTGGCCTGCCCTGTGAGGCGCCACTGTAGTTGGGGCAGGGGCTGCATAGCCTTAATATGTAAGCCTGTTGTGTGAGAATGGGAACCCCACCAAGGGGTAGCAAAACATGTCCCCAAGCCCGGGTCTGGGAAGTGATTAATGAGTCACCCAGAGGCTGCCGCGGGTGAGCCCAGGCCCCTCCTCATGGGCAAGGAAACGTCTCACCCCTACTGTCCCTTGTGTCCCATCTCAATGTGGGACCCTGGCACCTGGACCCAGGGTTTGAATCCAGGTCTGCCTCATGTGAACTCAGAGTCTGACTCTGTGCATCTTGCAAGCCGACCAGATTTGCAATGTGGGCAGGTGTCACTCTCACAAGACTTCATTCTGTCCACTTTTCACCCTTGATAGGTCAAGAAATAGTTCTGCTCAAGCCCTAAGAGGTGACTCAGAGAAGTGGAACCTGACAAGCTTTGTTTCTTTGCAGGTCACTCATCTGAGAAACTTCTCAGGGGTCACGTTCCAGGGACAATCCGACTCTGTGAAGGAACCCTCACTCAACTCCTGCCACGTTCCCCACGGGACCTGGAGGAAAGATGGTGGTGATCAAGGCCTGCGTGTTCTTCTTCCTGGTCCTAGAGGTCACCTCTCTGTTGGGTACAGGCTAAGTATCTACTGTCTATCTAATCCCCCACTTGTCATAATGAAGTCACTATGGTCTGGGACCCAACTCTGCATCTGCCTTAAGCCACAGCAGTGGCACTAAGATCTGAGGCTGGCTTGTCTATTTATTCATAATTTATACCCTGCTTGTTTTCCTAAAGGATTTAAGTACCAATATTAAAACTCACAGAACAGAATCTTTTAAATGAGGAGCAGGGTAAGTGTCACTCAGAAGGCAGAAAAAAGATAAGAGGGTTACCACTGCCCCTGAGTGTTAAATTTAGCTCTGAGCTTTCTGATAGCCAAAGCAAAAGGGATCACTGAGTACTCACAGCCAGATTTTTGGTTTTAGTTTCATGAAAATTCATTTAGACCCTGTCACCAAATTTGACAGAGACACCAGAACCCCTTCTGGTCTCCTTGTCCTCTGACCCCATTCTCTGGTGACACTGAGTTCTCAAGGGAACAGGTGGAGAGAATTTGCCTGGTGGGCTCCCCAAGGCTTCTAAGCATCAGAGCTCCCAGCACTATCCTGTATACTCTCTCCCATCTCCCCTTCCTTTCCTGATTTCTAGCCACATACTCAGGTAAAGCAAAAATATGCTCAAAATCCTCTCATAAAGCAGCAAGCACTGCAGGCTTTGTGACCACAGGTGCAGGAACAAAGGCTGTCTCAGCGTCTTGCCAAACCCTACATGTGCCCACCTCCTGCCTTGCTCTTTCTACCCTGACAGCTGCTGTTGGGAAAGATGATTAACATTCAGCCATCTGAGGGCAAATCAGATTAGTTTGATTAAAAGAGCTCCTATCACCCCAATTAAGCAGCAAAGAGAATACTGATTTGGCTCTCTCACGTGAGAGTTAATTACCTTTCAAAGCTTTTGCAGTGCTCTGCTCTCCCCTTTCTCCTTTCCATTTGGGAGCCCCCAACGCAGCCTCCGGTGGTGTGGGCCCGGAGGCTCACTGCCTGTGGCCCGAGGTCCCTATACCCTTCCTCAGGCAGACTTTGCCAGCCTGGGGTCAGAAAATTAAAGGACCACTCCTCCAGTTAGGCCCTATGAAGGTGAGGGTGGATTCCCAAAGCCAAACTTTGCCAGGAGAAGGGAAATGGACATCTATTGTCCAGGTCTTGAGCTTAAAAGGAGTTGCTAACACTTATTCAGCAAACATTCTGTGCTAGGCATTGTTCTAAGTGGATTTTATGAATGAGCTTATTTAATCCCTACAATCCTCTGAGATAGGAACTATTATTATCCTCACTTTAGGATGAGGGGTCAGATGAGTTAAGTATCTGGCCCAAGGTCACAGAGTCAGGAAGTGGCAGAGTGTCTGGGGCTCACAGTCTCAATCTCCGTATACTTCAGAGATGTTTACTTTGTGTTACCTCATGGAATCCTCATGCCAACTGGACCACCATATGTGCAGTGGGAACTAATATCTCCATTTTACAGATGAGGAAAGTAAGGTTCCATTCCGCCAAGAAGAACAGGCTCAGACCCTAAAGTAGGAGCCCCAGGTGCTCAGCAGCATCCCATGGTCCCTTTCTAGAACAAGAGTGAAAAGAGAACCACCATTTGTTGACCATGCACTGCATGCCATGTCCCTTTACCTTCACCGTCACCCTGAGTATGCACCAGGACCCTATGCTGGGGTGATTGTTGATGCAGTTCTATTTTATGGGGAAACAGATTTAAAGGAATAAAGCTTTTGTGAAGTCACACAGCCAGTAAGTGACAGAGGGGGATTTGAACCCATGCCCAGTGCTTATGTTCCATCCCCCACATCACACTGCTTCCCTATGTCTTGAGAGGCTAGTAGCAGGACCCTGCTGGGCCTCTGTAACTGTTTTGGCCTCTCACTTACCCTCCTGGCCCTCAGGGAGGCAGATGATGCTCACTCAGTCGGTGAGAAGAGCCCAGCCTGGGAAGAGGACCTCAGGCATCTTTGCCAAGCCTGCTGACCCCCTGGACAGTGAGTTGTGGCTGGAGCAGGGAGTAATTGGGGGCAGGGTTTTTACTGAGCTTGCTAAGAGGATCTCTGCAGCCAGGGAACAATGTCAGTGGTCCATAGAAACCCACTTTTTAAAAAAAATTTTCAAAAATGTTTTATTTATAGCTATTTGGCTAATGGTCATGGTTGTAATATATATATATATATTTAGATATCTTTTTTTTAACATCTTTATTGGAGTATAATTGCTTTACAATGTTGTGTTAGTTTCTGCTGTATAACAAGGACCTAGAGTCTGTCATACAGAGTGAAACCCACTTTTAAAAGGCATTTGGGGACTTCCCTGGTGATCCAATAGTTAAGACTCCATGCTTTCCACTGCAGGGGGCGTGGGTTCCATCCTTGGGGGGGAGGAGCTAAGATCCCGCATGCTGCACGGTGTGGCAAAAAAAAAAAAAAAAAAAAAAAGGCGTTTGGCCTACATCTCTGTCCAGGCAGAGGGACCAAGTATATAGGACAGCTCAGAATAATGCAGCCTCCTGATAGCTTCCAGAAATGCTGTAGGGCTTGCTGGGGCCAGAGCACAGGCTGGCAGGGAGAGAGCAGGGAGATGAAGATGGAGAGATACCAGGGGCCAGCTCACCAGCACCTGAATGCCTGGTTAAGAGAGTTAAAGCCAGGAGTGATGTGGCCCAAGCCACGTGGAGAAAGCTCACCCTGACTGCAGTGTTTGGAGAGGGGTGGGCATGGGTTCGGAGGAAGCTGGAGGTAGAGACCCAGGCAGGAAGTTTCTGACGTGGTACAGCCAAGGCTGCTGAGAGCTTTAACAGAACCTTTGGCGGTAGGGTGTAAGCAGAAGTGTAAGAGATTGGAGAGATGCTGGAGAGAGAGATGCGATGAGGGCCTGAGACCAGTGAGGGGCGGGTGAGGGGTATTAGGGATGACTTCCAGGGCTTGAGCTCACCTGGAGCTCCAGGGCCTGGCTCCTCTCCTACCTGGCTCTCTCTCTCAGGTCCTGGGGAGTGGACAACGTGGTTCAACATTGACCACCCAGGTGGGCGGGGCGACTACGAGCGGCTAGATGCCATTCACTTCTACTACGGGCACCAGGTGTGTCCTCGGCCCCTGCGGCTAGAGGCTAGGACCACCGACTGGATACCCGCAGGCAGCACTGGCCAAGTGGTCCATGGCAGCCCCCTTGAGGGCTTCTGGTGCCTCAACAGGGAGCAGCGGCCCGGCCAGAACTGCTCCAATTATACCGTGCGCTTCCTCTGCCCACCAGGTGAGCCTGACCAGTCCCCACCCGCTACCTCCCACCAGCCTCGGCAAAGGGAGAGCCAGGACCTGCGTCTGGCTACGGGAACTCTGGTTGTCACACACGTACACATGCTTTGACTCCATAATAACCCATTAGTGTCATGAGAACCATAATCTTCCCAACAGTGTTCTGTGTGGATGGGTAATTTCCTTTCAATCCACTTTACTGAGTGCATGTGGCACAGTGGTGAAGACCACAGGCTCTGCAGTTGGGCTGCTTGGTTTGAATCTGGGCCTACCATCTCTACTGTGTTCCTTAGACAAATGTTCTGAAGCTCTCTGAGCCTCAGGTTTCTCACATGTAGAACAGGGGTAATATTAGTAATCCTTCATAGGGGTTTTTATGAGGATTAAATGAGATAATGAATGTAGAGGGCTTAATGCAGGTGAACGTCCACTAAGTGTCAGTTTCTATGTTAGTTCTTCTGTGCCAGACACTGCTAGTTATCTCCATTACTCAACCTTTACAACTGACCTGTGAGGAATCTCCATTTTGACAAGTTATTCCAGGTTCAGGGAGTTTAGGTAACTTCTTGGGACGACACAGCTGATAAATGGAATGCTGGGATTTAAACCCATGCCTGTGTTTGCAGAGCCCAAGAGTTCGTGCTCTTTCCATCTCCTCTCCCCACACTGGATAATTCAGAGCCAGCTGCAGGCCTGCCCGCTTCTTGGATATGCACGCTCCCCTCCCGGGATCCCGCCAGTGCACACGGCCTGACCCTGCAGGCCCGGGAGGCAGTGGTGGTCGTCTGCAGTGGGAGCTCAGGCTGAGCAAGGTCTCCCGAGTGAGGTCCGAGGCCTCCATTCTTGTACACAGGCCTCAGACCAGAGGTGAAGGAGGGTGGGCAGAGGGGGCTTGATGTCACTGAGGCCCCAGGCCCTGACTTTCCAGGGGGCCCTTCTTCAGGAACATGGGTAAAGTGTAAGATGGTGCTATCCCTGCACCTCCTAGGACAGCACATCAAAGTCCCAGTGCTTGGCCAAAAAGTCCCTCTCAGGGCCACCCCTAGCCCATTCGGTGTTTTTGTAAAACTTAGAGACACCACTTCCTCAAGACTCTTGATGTCCATCTGCTGGAAAAATCCTTACAGGAAATATAAATATCAGTGACATCTGTGGTGTAAATGGAGGCCTTGCTCTCTGAGAAAAAACAGCCTCTGGGTCAGATTTCCTGACAGAGTCCCTCTGAGAGGGAAGTCAGACCATCTGCTGATCCTGCTTTGCAGGATCCCTGCGCCAAGACACAGAGCACAGCCTCTGGAGCCTGTGGTCTCCCTGGAGCAAGTGTTCTGCTGCTTGTGGTCACCCTGGGGTCCAGACCCGAACACGCACCTGCTTGGCAGAGACGGTGTCACTGTGCAATGATGCCACCGAGGAGGGTCGGCTCTGCATGGAGCAGGCCTGTTCAGGTACTACCCCTGCTCTTGGTACTGGGCAGGCATGGGGCTGGGGCTGAAGCAGCCTAGAATAGTTTAGAGGGTCAGACTGAGACAGATTCATCCATTCATTCATCAGGTATTAACTGAGCATCTATTACGTGCACCGATGGGGGATGTAGAGGATAATGTGGGAGCATAGTGCATGGTCAATTATTATAGCTTAGGGGAATTGAGGAAGCCTTTCTAGAGGAGGTGTCCTGAGCTAAGTCTTGAAGGATGAGTAGGAATTAGTCATGCAGGCTGATGAGGAAGGGTAACAAAGGCCTAAGGGGGAGAGGAAGCATATGTGAGTCCACAGGCTGGGACGTGACTGAAGGAGGGCCAGAATCCACACACGCCCTCCTGATGTGGCCCCTTCTTCCACAGCCTGTGACCTGACCTGCCCCATGGGCCAGGTGAATGCTGACTGTGACGCCTGCATGTGCCAGGACTTCGTGCTGTATGGGGTTGTCTCCCTCCCTGGGGGTGCCCCAGCCTCAGGGGCTACTGTCTACATCCTGACCAAAACACCTAAGCTATTGACCCAGACGGACAGCAGCGGGAGGTTCCGAGTCCCTGGCTTGTGCCCCGATGGCAAAAGCATCCTGAAGATCACAAAGACCAAGTTTGCCCCTATCAGGCTCACGATGCCTAAGACTAGACTGAAGGCAGCCACCATCAAGGCAGAGTTCATGAGGGCAGGTACTTAACTTCTCTGGGATAGGGCTGGGGAGGAAGGCTGGACTTTTAAATAAAAGGATTACAGTACTAAGAGCTGGCTTTCCAGGTTGCCCAGAGTAAAACTGAAAAATCCCCAAGTCCCGACATCATCTGCCAGACCCCCCATTCCTTCTCTTCTCTCTTCCCCTCTCCTCTCCTGTTATAGTCCCCTCCGCCCACACTGAGTCACTCTACTCCTATCCGTTCCTCAAACACACAGGCACACGCCTGCCTCAGGGCCTTTGCACTTGCTATATACTCTGCTTGGAGTGTTCTTCCCCCAGATATTGGAATGGCTTGCTCCCTCAAATGTATGAGCTCTTTCCTGGTCACCTTATCTAACATAGTCAATTACAATACAGTATAACGTTTGAAAGGCATAGAGAGGCTGGGGGAATTCAGAAATGGTGCAGATTGGCCAGAAAATTCTGCTGGAGTCACCAGAGCAGCCAGCTCTGTCTCAATGGCAGTGTTTGGGAATCTTGGCTGGTACAAGGTCCTCTTGGTTCTCCACTGCCTCACCCAGATGCTGCCTGAGAGACCATGGGAGCGGGTCCCAGGCTGAGTAGATGGAGGGAGTGGACTCCATTCTGGACCAGCTACTTATTAGGACCATTAGAGAGGGGCTGGGTGGTGTGTGTGAAGTTGTACAATTTTAACGCATGTCAAAATACCTGAGGGAGCAAGGCTCTGGAGAACCTGTCACAAAGAAAAACCCAAAACACCATGTCTCACCTTCTGTCTCAGAGACTCCATACATTGTGATGAACCCCAAGGCAAAAGCACGGAGAGCTGGGCAGAGTGTGTCCCTGTGCTGTAAGGCCACGGGGAAGCCCAAACCAGACAAGTATTTCTGGTGAGTATTCTGCCAGCTACCTGGCCCAGTTCTCCTCTTGGAAACCAGAGCTTTCTTGCATTGGGTCTGGACTTATTAATCATGGCAATAATTAACAAGTGGGGGCCAGCAGGGCTGAGGCCACCCAGACAACGAGCAAGCCCTGTTGTTGTCCTATCAAAGCTGGGGTCCCCCAGAGCAGCTCTGGTCTTGGGGTCCTGACTCATATCCTTGGGCCACAGAACCAGGTTCCCCAGCCCTAATTTCCCAGACATGGGCAAACAAGGTCAGTGTCTCCAGTGGCTGTCCTTTACCCTTTACAAACATTTTATAGCCATTATCTTGTTTGATGCTCTCAACAATTCTATGGAGTTAGCTAGGCATCACTGCTCCTATTTCATAGAACAGGAAGCTGAAACTCAGACGTGAAATGGTTTGTCTAAGGGTCCATAGCCAGTTAGTGGTGGGGCTGAGACTCAGAATCGAGTCCCCTGACTCCCAGGCCAGTCAGTGTTCTTGAATGAGCTGAGTCAGTGGTGGTGTTGGCATCTGCAGGGACCCGTCCACCATCTGCCTTGCTCCTGGCACTGTCCCCAAGGATACCAGCCCTCCTACTGCCCCGTCAGGCCGTCCCTCTCCATCCCTTTCAGGTACCATAACAGCACACTGTTGGACCCCTCCCTCTACAAGCACGAGAGCAAGCTGGTGCTGAGGAACCTGCAACGGGACCAGGCCGGGGAGTACTTCTGCAAGGCCCAGAGCGACACTGGGGCTGCAAAGTCCCATGTCGCCCGGCTGACTGTCATAGGTAAGACTGTCAGGGCCCCTGGGGAGCCCCTGCTACAGCACCGGGGAGCACTCCAGTGGGCATTCCTGGGCAGTAAAACCTTGGGCTTTTCTAGACTGTGCTCTCTGGGACACAAAGATGGCACAGACCTTGATCCTACCCTCACAGAGCTGCCACTCCAGGATGGGTGGAGAAATAAGAGACAAGTCAGTAAAGATGAAAAAATGTAGTTAAAACAGGAGATAAGGAATTGTGGACTCTATAGATGAGAGACAGAGACCTTCCAGGTAGGAGTGACTATGACTGGTTGCTTGAGGCTTAAATAGGGATCATCTGTTGAGTTTTTTAAAATACTGACGTCTGGGTCTTACCTCCAGAGAGCCTGATTTCATTGGTTTGGGATGTGGCCTGGTCATGCACAGGTTAAAATCTTCCCCAGGTAATTCTAATTTGCAGCCAATGTTGTGAATCCCTGGTCTTAAACAATGGCCAGGGTCTGTGTGTATGGAGATGGGAGCATTCCAGATCAAGGGGCCAGCATGAGCAAGGTATAGAAGTGGGAAACTGAGGGGGCTTTACAAGAAAGGGTGACCTGATTAAAGCTGGTCTCTAGAAGTGAGCTGGAGGAGGAGAAACTGGAGGCCAAGACCAATCAGGAAACTGTACTTGGAAAGTAAGGGAGAAGGAGGATATCTTAGTAATTGGCCTAAACAAAACCAAACAAAAGGCAGAAGAAATTTTGTTGGAAGGATTTTGGAATATTTCAGAGACTCCAAGAAAGTTGAGTAACACACCTCGGGACAGGCAGGACACAGGGGACTTGAACCCTGGCAGAGGAGATGTGGAGAACTGTCAGCAGTAGTTCCCCGCTCATTATACCAGTGCTCCCCACTTGTCACAGTTATTCTTTCTTTCTGTTTTTTTTTCAGTTATTCTTAATACTTTAAATTTTAAATATTTTCAATTAAAAATATTTTTTACTATTCTAAAGTTAAATTTATAGATAATAACTACATATAATTTCCAAATATACATGCACATGGCCCTAATAACGTAAAAGGGAAATACAAAGAAAATAATTTTAATACAAAATAGTATGTATTTCAATATGTAAGTGCTTTGGCATAATGACACAAGAACATCAACCAAGAGGTCAGATACTTGAACTTGAATCCAGTCACCATGAGTGTGACAGCTACAAATGCTGATGGATACAGGGGCATCATTTCACATTCCTTGGGCAATTGTTGTAGGTACATGATTTTTCTGAAACAAGAAGCAATTCTTGGTATTTTTCCAAGCTAAACAAAGTACAATCTTGGCTTGATTTATATGGTAGTTGCATTCTTGAAAAATTCAATGTATGGTAAAGCCATGTAAAAGATACCAGGCTCCGATAATTTTAAACAAGTTTTCCACCTACATGAATGTCTATAGAATACGTGAAAGTCAAACAGGATGCAGAAGAATTCCGTACGAGAGACAGTGTCAGGCACTGCAGAAAACAGAGCTGCAAGGCCCCCTGCCCGTTATAAGTCAGTAGCACTGCCGATTTTGGTGGTAACTCAAAACACCCTCACGAATTTTCAAGACCCCTCCAATTAGGACGATTGCTCTACTGGTCTCGGCAGCAAGCTCTGTTCCCTGTGTGTGAAATGGAATTAGTAACAGCTGTTCTATCTCCCGCAGAGGAGTTTTGTGAGAATTGGGATCACACAAGTACTTTGAAAACCCTAAAGTATGGCAGAGAGCGGAGGTTGAGGTCCCCTTTATGTAGGAAAAGAACTTGCATTTAATATCCGAACTATTTCCCTCCATAGCCCCCGATGAGACTCCTTGCAACCCAACCCCCGAGAGCTACCTTATCCAGCTGCCCCATGATTGTTTCCAGAATGCCACCAACTCCTTCTACTATGATGTGGGTCGTTGCCCTGTCAAGACCTGTGCAGGGCAGCAGGATAATGGGATCAGGTGCCAGGATGCTGTGGAGAACTGCTGTGGGATCTCCAAAACAGAGGAGAGGGAGATCCAGTGCAGTGGGTACACGCTGCCCACCAAGGTGGCCATGGAGTGCAGCTGCCAGCGGTGTACGGAGACCCAGAGTATTGTTCGGGGACGTGTCAGCGCCTCTGACAATGGGGAGCCCATGCGCTTTGGCCACGTGTACATGGGGAACAGCCGTGTGAGCATGACTGGCTACAAGGGCACGTTCACCCTCCACGTCCCTCAGGACACTGAGAGGCTGGTGCTCACATTTGTGGACAGGCTGCAGAAGTTTGTCAACACCACCAAAGTGCTGCCCTTCAATAAGAAGGGGAGTGCGGTGTTCCATGAGATCAAGATGCTTCGGCGGAAAGAGCCCATCACCTTGGAGGCCATGGAGACCAACATTATCCCCTTGGGGGATGTGGCTGGTGAAGATCCTGTGGCTGAGCTGGAGATCCCATCCAAGAGTTTCTACCGGCAGAACGGGGAGCCCTACACAGGAAAAGTAAAGGCCAGTGTGACCTTCCTGGATCCCCGGAATATTTCCACAGCTACTGCTGCCCAGAGTGACCTGAACTTCATCAATGATGAAGGAGACACCTTCCCCCTTCGGACATACGGCATGTTCTCTGTGGACTTCACAGGTGAGGCCACCTCAGAGTCACTTAATGTTGGCAAGGTAAAGGTCCACCTCGACTCAACCCAGGTCAAGATGCCAGAGCACTTGCCCATGATGAAACTCTGGTCACTCAACCCAGGCACAGGGCTGTGGGAGGAGGAAGGTGACTTCAAATTTGAAAGCCAAAGGCGGAACAGAAGAGAAGACAGGACCTTCCTGGTGGGCAACATGGAGATCCGTGAGAGGAGGCTCTTTAACCTGGATGTCCCTGAAAGCAGGAGGTGCTTCATCAAGGTGAGGGCCTACCGAAGTGAGAGGTTCTTGCCCAGTGAGCAGATGCAGGGTGTCGTGGTCTCTGTGATCAACCTGGAGCCCAGGACTGGCTTCTCCTCTAACCCCAGGGCCTGGGGCCGCTTTGACAGTGTCATCACTGGTCCCAATGGGGCCTGTCTGCCTGCCTTCTGCGATGACCAGTCCCCTGATGCCTACTCTGCCTACGTCTTAGCGAGCCTGGCTGGGGAAGAACTGGAAGCAGTGGAGTCTTCTCCTAAATTCAACCCAAATGCAATTGGTGTCCCTCAGCCCTACCTCAACAAGCTCAAGTACCGCCGGACAGACCATGAGGACCCACAGGCCAAGAAGACAGCTTTCCAGATCAGCATGGCCAAACCAAGGCCCAACTCAGCCGAGGAGAGCAATGGACCCATCTATGCATTCGAGAACCTCCAGGCATGCGAGGAAGCACCTCCCAGTGCGGCCCACTTCCGGTTCTACCAGATTGAGGGGGATCGGTATGACTACAACACGGTCCCTTTCAACGAGGATGACCCCATGAGCTGGACTGAAGACTACCTGGCATGGTGGCCCAAGCCAATGGAGTTCAGGGCCTGCTACATCAAGGTGAAGATCATGGGGCCACTGGAGGTGAACGTGCGATCCCGTAACATGGGGGGCACCCACCGGCAGACAGTGGGAAAGCTGTATGGAATCCGGGATGTGAAGAGCACGCGGGACAGGGACCAGCCCAATGTCTCAGCTGCCTGTTTGGAGTTCAAGTGCAGTGGGATGCTCTATGACCAGGACCGTGTAGACCGCACGCTGGTGAAGGTTATCCCCCAGGGCAGCTGCCATCGAGTCAGCGTAAACTCCATGCTGCATGAGTACCTGGTCAACCACCTACCACTGGCGGTCAATGACAATACCAGTGAGTACACCATGCTGGCGCCCTTGGACCCACTGGGCCACAACTATGGCATCTACACTGTCACTGACCAGGACCCTCGCACAGCCAAGGAGATTGCGCTTGGCCGGTGCTTTGATGGCACATCTGATGGCTCCTCCAGAGTCATGAAGAGCAATGTGGGAGTGGCCCTGACCTTTAACTGCGTAGAGAGGCAGGTGGGCCGTCAGAGTGCCTTCCAGTACCTCCAAAGCACCCCGGCCCGGCCCTCCCCAGCAAGCACTGTCAGGGGAAGAGCGCCCTCAAGGAGGCAGCGGTCAAGTCAGGGTGGCCAGCGCTGGCGCAGAGGGGCGGCCTCTCTGAGGTTTTCTGGGGTTGCTCAGCAGCCTCTGAGCAACTAAGGCTTGTGGTACTTCCCTTCTCCCCACAGCCATTGTGAGACTGACACCCAAACTGTCACTTGGTTAACTTAAGCCCATCTGTTCTGGTGCAACTTGCTCGTTTGTTTCTTCATTCCCTTTCTTACTGTCTTTGTCCTGTGATACTGATTGGCATGGAGCCCCCAAAATGTCAAAATAAAGCCTCTTTGCCCTGTTCTTTACAAGAAACACAGGAAATTGGCCATGGGCAAACTCTGTGGCTTTGAGCATTCTTCATTTAGTGCCATACATGGAAATGTCCTTCATTTTCTTTTTTGCATGGTTTTGCCCACCTCTACAATAAGGATAATCTGATGTTGAAGATCAAATAACCAATATAAAGCATATTTCTTGGCCTTGCTCCACAGGATGTAAGCAAGGCCTCCATCGCAGTTCATACATATAAAAGGTGGTGAAATATTTTTACTTGAATTATAAATAACATTTATTTCTTTGCTGAATCTGGAACTCTAGTGCACGTTCAGTGTTACACTGTTGAGTATAAGGTAATCATAGTTCCTCTACCAAGTCTGGAAAAAACATCTCCTGGTATCCACAACTGCCCTAGGTTGCTAATTATATTAGCGTGTTTCCCTTTATATTTGCTTTTGTTCTTTCTAGAAGCCCAGTGTGGCCCAGAACAGATGTCAATAAATGCACATTTTGTACTTGATTTTGAGGTCACTGACCTGTCTTTAAACCATTAATCTGAGCCAACTGCTCAGAGGGACAGAGGGGTCTCTGGAAAGTGGTCACCAGGTGGCATGAGGCACAGTGCCACCTAACCCTAAGTTACAGGGCTGGGTGACTAGGCACCTATTCTACTGGTCAAGTTTGTTCTCATAGATCATATTTTCCATTTGCAGAGAAGAGCAGAGATTCCTGGAGTTGTGAGCCCCTCCCAGATGTTCTGGGCCCCTGAGCAAAGCTGAAAACATGTCCTGATTTTTTTTTCCTTTCTTTCATTCCAGTACTGGGGAGCTTATACAGTGGCTTGGCCCAGGGTCTGGCAAGCTGGCCCAGTGGTCCTTTGGCATTCCCCCACAGCCTGCTGCCTTCTCCAGCTGGACTGGCTGACCTCACTCAGAAGTGATGGGCTTTTTCTTTTTTTATTCCAAGCTCTTCTAAAGTTGCCCAGCTTTTCCAGACACCAGCCTCTGTGTGTAACAGCCTCTGCCAGGTAACAGCCTCTGTCCCTTGAGTAAAATGACTGGATAACTGATCCAAAAGGACAGGGTTTTTTTGTTTTTGGAAAAGGTGTTTGGTTTAAAACAGTAAATCAGAGGCCACTGGATGGTGCCAAAGTGATCTTGGAGGCATCAGTAGCCAGGGATGTAGGGTTGAGTAAGATGCACTGATGGCCTCTTTCCCAACCTCTCCAGAATCTATTAGGAAAGAGGCCAAGGGGATTGGGGGAGGAGAGGGCATCATTTACAATCAGGACAAAAAGCTCTCCTTGATCCCCTGGCTGGCCCAGTGCAGTTCCTTCTGGCCACCTCTGGTCTAGCCTGGATTTGTACTCTTGGATCAGCATCTGCCCAGCTCCCAGGGGTTTGGTTCATAATCAATTAGAAATTTCTCTGGCTAAGCACCGCATCCCCATGACCTCTGAGAAAGTGGGCGTATGTAGGGCTGGGGCCTAGTGGCCTTTGATTGCTCCTTGACCTACTTCCAGACTATGCTTCCCAGGGAGTGGCTCCCACTGACTGCATGGGTTGGGGGTTGGGAAGCTTGACTGAAGGGGTCTGTGTTCAGCTATCTACAGCACAGATGCCTCGCTGCTTCAGGAGTGAGTATGTGCTGCTTCGACCTGACCATCCAGTTCCCTTCAAACTCACCAAAAGAGGCCACTGGGAAAGGTGGGCTGACTGGGCTCCCAACTTATGGCCTTCCCTTTCTGTTCTCCATTGAGGGCCTGAATAAATAGATCCCAGCAAGCAGTAGCTGGTACTTGATTTTTCTTTCTTCAGTCATCAAACATTTATTGAGTGCCTATTCTATGCAAACCCATGTGTGCAAGTAGACAGGCCTTCATGAGTATATAAAATATACTACACATAGTGGCACCAGATTTGGAGGGGACGGTGGTCAGAGGAGGCTTCTTAGAGGAGGTGACATTTAATTTGAGGTGTGAATGATAGCTAGGAGCTGGCTTGCTGAAGGTGTGGCTGTCAGGAGCAAGGGGAACAAGCTTGTGCAACACCAGGAGGTGGAGGCTGGGAAGGGATGGCAGATACCTCTCTTTTCAGACAGGAAACACTATTGAGTTGAGCTCATGACACCTACTTTCTAAGCATCTTGCTTCCAAAGACAGTTGTGCTCCCTGCTAGCTGTCTGACTTTGGTTGTCATTTTCCTCACCTATAAATGAAGGGGTTGGGGAACTTCCCTGGCGGTCCAGTGGTTAAGACTGCACTTCCACTGCAGGGGGCTCAGGTTCGATCCCTGATTAAGATCAAGATCCCGGGCTTCCCTGGTGGCGCAGTGGTTGAGAGTCCGCCTGCCGATGCAGGAGACACGGGTTCGTGCCCCGGTCCAGGAGGATCCCACATGCCGCGGAGTGGCTGTGCCCGTGAGCCATGGCCGCTGAACCTGCGCGTCCGGAGCCTGTACTCCGCAACGGGAGAGGCCACAACAGTGAGAGGCCCGCGTACCGCAAAAAACAAAAAAAACAAACGATTAAGATCCCACAGGCTGTGCGGCACAGCCTAAATAAATGAATAAACAAATAAATAAATGAAGGGGTTGGTTGTACACCTAAAACTAATACAATGTTATGTGTAAATTATATCTAAATTATCAGTAAATAAATAGGAAAAAATTTAAATGAAGGATTTATCTAGATTGAATCTAAACCACCTCTAAAGTCCTCTTCATGATTTTCAGTGAGGCTAAGAGCACAGTTCCCAAGATGCTTTTGCTTTAACAAACAGCTGATGATTCATGGGGTGTTCCCTTCCCCTGTGGAGACTCTGCAGACTGGATGGACAAAATGTTCAGTTCAAAAAAGCCCCGGGTTTTTGTCTCAGACTGCTGTGCACTGGCTGATAACTCAGTTACTGAGAGTGAACTGTAAGAAGACAGACACCAGATGGCAGAGAGGAAGGGCACAGGCAGGAAGACAGAGGGGCCAATCAGGCTGCTTCTGTTTCCAACCAAGGACGTTCCAGGCAGAATGCTCTCTACAGTTTGGAGAGTTCCAGCAGCTGAGTTGGTAGAGAAAAATGTCACCAAGCTCTTGAAGGATTGAGAGAACTTAGACAAGCCAAGTTGGAAGCAGTGCGGGATAGGTGGAGTTCCAGGCAAAGGGATCAGCTAGAGCCAAGGAGTAAAGATGGGACCGCACAGTGGAATACTTTTGGTTATAAGTAACAGGGGTACCAGCAGACATCAGGAAGGACCAGAATCAGGAAATGCAAAGCCATCAGAATCTAGGCCATCACTCTCAAGCTGATTATGACTTATGGCAATTTGGTAAATTATACCTTTGTAAATAGAACTGAAACATGTCTTTTCTCTCTACCTGATCCCTCCAGAAATTGGAATCTCTTAGTTTCCCAGCAACTTTATCAGGCAAATAAGGATGACTACCTGCTAACAGGTACAGGAGTCTCAAGGTACTTGGGGGGAAATGAGAGGAATTCACCAAAATCTATAGATATCACAGGCGGAATCTGTGACAAGCCCTTGGTATGGCTTTCCTGCCCCTGAGAGACCTTTTAAAAGCTTAATCTGAGGGACTTCCCTGGTGGTGCAGTGGTTAAGAATCCGCCTGCCAATGCAGGGGACACGGGTTCGAGCCCTGGTCCAGGAAGATTCCCACATGCCAAGGAGCCGCTAAGCCCACGCACCACAGCTACTGAGCCTGCCCTCTAGAGCCCACGAGCCATGACTACTGAGCCCGCGCGCCTAGAGCCCGTGCTCTGCAACAAGAGAAGCCACCACAATGAGAAGCCCACGCACCGCAACGAAGAGTAGACCCTGCTTGCCGCAACTAGAGAAAGCCCACACACGGCAACGAAGACCCAACGCAGCCAGATAAATAAATAAATAAATTTATTTTTAAAAAGTAATCCTCAAAAAAACCCAAAACAAAACAACAGCTTAATCTGAAATTCCATATGAAAAGTTCCAGCACAGCCAAGTTAAAAGAGCCTATGTGATCAGTTACGCTTATGTAAATAATCAGGCTAAGTTTATAAAAACCAGACTTATTTTGCAAACAAATTAGTCTGAATTTGACTATATTTGGTAGAAATGAGGGTAATTTTAGAGAGAAAAAATATGTTTCAGTAGATATTAAATTCTAGTTTTGTTAATTGAGGTCTGTATTTACTGCTAAAGACTCACTTCTCAGATGGCTCCTTGTTGCTATGTTATATTATTGTAAAGTTTATTTCTGAAGCTTATCACAGTCATCTATCTTTGGATGAAGATCAGATGTGTCTCCTGCAACCAGGGGATAATGCATACTGGAAAAGACATCAGATAAAGGACTCTTTACAGCCATGTTGAAAGGTACCATATCAAGCCTTCTCTCCTGAGTGTACTGCAACTCCTGTTTCTAACAATCAAGCCTCCTCTCCTGAGTGAACTGCAACTCCTGTTTCTAACAATCAAGCCTTCTCTCCTGAGTGAACTGCAACTCCTGTTTCTAACACCCAACTTTGACTAACTAAGACAAACGCTACCAGACCAGGACAAGAAGAAGATGAAATCTGAAGTAGACAGCTGACCCAAGATGCCAGACCAGGCCTGTATACTAATTACTTAGACAATTGCTCACACTTTTGCTTTTTAACCAAATGTATTTTTTCCTTGGGCCCAATCATTTGCAAGTTTCAAAAAATCAATCCAATTTCTGGGTTTGTGGCCAATTACCTATGTCCAGTACTCCTAGGTTACCTTGGTGGATTTTCCTCTCCAAAGGCTCTAATTGGATGGCTCTTAGCAGTTTTATTTTAGAAGAAAGAAACTCTAGTACCATGCAAGCTAATTTTACTGCCAATATCACTAAGTGGGACCCTCTTACTCAGCCAATTAATGACAACTGTTCTGAACCTGGTCAAAAGTAATCCTTTTCACTAGATGTTAAATATTGGGTAGCTCCTAACAGGATCCAGTGAATTTATGGAACAAGTTTATGGCCTTGGCTCTCCCCAGGTTGGCTAGGAAGATGCACAGTTGGTTTCCCTTGGGCTCAAGGTCACCTAC